GGAAATCTCGAGCTGATTAATACTGATTATGAAGATTCATTTCAGTAGAGACTTGTCTAGATTCGTTGGGCCACCATACTATCTTTAATCGTGGCTCATAATATGCGTCGCAGCACTCAAAGGGCTAAGCGGTAACTCCAAGAATGGAGTTAAAAAAAAAAAAAAAATTCAACAGTAAAATATTAAAAATTATCGTTGAAAATCCATGAATTCCTTCATGTTCCTTCACATCTCATAATCGAAGACTTTGTATGAATCATGATAAAGAAAAGAGGTATGTCAGAAACTTTGTGATACTCATATCCGCTACATTGCTTTTCTCCAAAAGGCTTAAAAGTTAAAACATATACCTACGCGGATAATAAAATTGACGAAGAACAGATATATGGCCATACCAAACACATAGGAGAAAGTGGGGATGAGCAAACAAGATTCGAATTCGGAATGTTTTTGAATTATCTCTTTTATTTATCATAGTATGAATAATGACCATAAGACATATTTTACAAAATAAAACTGATTATGTAATACGTACCATCACTGACTGTAATAAAATTAATATTGTATTTATTAATTATATAATATTAATAATATTGTTCTGTTATAAGATCACATGGATTGAACTATAAATTACCAACACGTTTAATTTAATTTACTTAGAAACTTTTAAACACAAATTAATTATAAAGATAAATAAAATAAAAACACAAACAATGCTACATACACGCTTCTGAAAAATAAGAAAATAATGTTAATAATTATGAAAGGTATTATTTGTTTAAAAATGTTAAATTTAAAGTATAGAAGATAAAAGTACTGTGAAATACTAACACCGTTTTATTAGAATAAAAAACTCAATAATTAAGTATTCACCCCAAAATTAAGTTTAAATTATTGAACAATTGTCTATACTTATGCGAAACGTAACTCATTAGTCAAAAGTAGAGAAAACTTTACAAAGACTAACAGACCATTTTTAGAAAAATAAGCACTACATTTCAAAAAGTGGCAAGTATCAAATGAATACCGATCTACAGTACATTTATATGACGTGTCATACAGGGTGATTTTTTTATCGAAGAACACTCATTATTTCAAAAAGTATTAATGTTTAAGAAAATATTTTTTTACATAGTTTCAAGTTGTTAAAAAACAATATTTTTATTAAAAAATTATATTTTTAAATATTTTTTATCCTTTTAATTTTTTAAGTTTTTTACTTTTTTGAATGACAACATCTAATTTTAATTTGATATTCAAAAACAGAATATTTTTCTGAGTATTTCGATACATAAAAATTGAATTTAGGGCAATTAGTTTATGAGTTATAAGTATTTAAAGTTTCGATGAGCGGAGTAGAGTGGTACGGGGTTACCCCGCGAAATGTTTGTCCTCTACTCCGCTCATCTAAACTTTAAATACTTATAACTCATAAACTACTTGCCCTAAATTCAATTTGTATGTATTAAAATAATCAGAAAAATATTCTGTTTTTGAATATCAAATTAAAATTAGATGTTGTCATTCAAAAAAGTAAAAAACTTAAAAAATTAAAAGGATAAAAAATATTTAAAAATATAATTTTTTAATAAAAATATTGTTTTTTAACAACTTGAAACTATGTAAAAAATATTTTCTTAAACATTAATACTTTTTGAAATAATGAGTGTTCTTCGATAAAAAAATCACCCTGTATACTCATATAAGTTATTGTAATGGATGTGTTAAATTTAAATTCAATGATATAAAATCATTGTATGCTAAAAACAATTCTGGGGGAAGACAAACCGCCAGTCTATATTACTAAGTAGGTATATTTCACTATATTATTATTGCTATTACAATAGCTTACAAATAATATATTTCAATCAAAACAAAATAGCGGCAATTTGTTATTCTACGTTTTAACTTAAAATATCTGCAAACAGTGAAAATTCTACAATAGCTTTAATATACTCAGTTGCGTGGTAGTTAGTGTGTCCCGCTGTGGCAAAATAGCTCTCACACAAAAAAAAATAGAGGTTCAATTAAATTGTCAATGTTCTATTAGGTGTAACACACCATACGAATAAATGAATAAATGACACATCATTTAAAGCTTTAATAACGTCTAACAAGTGTTCCGGATATGAAAAGTTTATTTTTTATGATTTCCAGTTGATTGAAAAAAAATTTAAAATATTGTTTATGTACATTAGCTAAGAAACATTCAAGCAAAAATTAATTACAAAGATCATTAAATAAAAAATGATTAAATGTTACATACTTTCATCTGCAAAATAAGAAAAAAATATTAATAATTATCATAGGTATTACTTGTCAAAAATTGAAAAATGTGAAATTAAAAGTCTAGACGAAAGCCTAGTACTGTGAAATATTAACACATTTATTGTAATAGACTTATTTTAAAGTTAATCATTTATAATAATATATAATTATCATAGCATAAAAATAAACTAATAAGACAACAATAATATCCACCTATAATATACTAAAAAAATGTATAATATTAAATGTATGGATATCAGACCTATGGACTTTTTAAGTCATCCTACAGTTTAGAATTTCGTCGGCTTGGAACCAAAATATGCTATTTAAAAATATTAAATTCTTTATTAGAAAAATTCAACACTTGTATAACTGTATTATCTCCTTAATACTTATTATCTCATAAACTATGAATTTTAATAATTGTCAAATCACTAATTTATTTGACCACATAAATAGTAGCTACAGTTGTAACACTATTGTTAATAACTAAAAATATTCTATTTATACTACTTTTAATATAGATAAAATATCACTATTGAAATGCAATTCAAACGCGGTCTTTTATCGCTCATTATTTTAATTTGGCTTTAACTCAGTAAAATAGTGCCACGTAAGGAGCTCTAGCCAGTTCACCAGTGATGCTGTTGATGCGACTATAGTTATATGTCTTCTGTTACTTCTGAATCTTGGTAGTAGATATTGAAGGTTAAAGAGTTTGAGTAGAAGTGATATTATATCCCTTGCATGCTATACTTTGTGCTGGTAGGCTGAGAGCTTAATAATGGAGTACCAGATTTTTAACTCTCCTGTATAATTTTCTAGAGACTAGAATCTAGATGATTTGTTAATTATTATGCTGGCTGTTTTTTGGTCCTGAACGGGTTGACTGGGTTTGGAAAATATATATTTATATGTGAATAAAATCAATGGTCGACTTGATGTAGAAGTGATATGATGGTTCATCTCATACTTTACTGTCTGCACCCCAACTAAACAGCGGATGGTGGTTTTTCGGATGAACTATTGTGAGGATCTAATTGGGTACGTAGATAATATGATTGACATTGGTTTTTCTAAAATTTTAGCTTGGGTTTATTAGGAGACCCCGGCCTGAGGCCCCATATAGAAGAATTGGTAGTATATATATTATATATTCTAAATATTGACACTTTAACGAATAATGGAGTTCTTTTTTGGTATAACACTTTTTACAATGAAGCCCGCGGGCTCTTTAATGTTGAAATTATAATATTTTGACAAATGTTGAGTGTGACTCCTAAGTATTTATAGTGGTTTGACCTGATCTCTCCTGTGATATTCATCTGTATTTATATTATAATCATCTTTGATTATCGACGTTGGTTGGTTTTGACATTCAAGTTGAGGCGAGTTATACCGCATGTCGACACATTGTTTGACCTTGCTCGTGTCAAATTCACAAGGTGACCTTGTCATTCACCTTGTCACATTCATTTGTCTCTGTTGTTCTTGCTATCGAGTGGTTCTGCTGGATTTTTGTTCGTATGTTTTTTTCTTGATAGCCTTGAGTAGAACAATGTTGGTAAGTGTGGTGTGTGCCATTACAATATAATATATATAAACAGCGGATCTTATTAAATAAATTGATTTATTTTACTTATGTTTATTTAGCACATTTTAGTTCCAAGCACACGAATTGTGTTAGTACTAATTTCACATAGATAGAATTACTAAACTACTAATTCAATAAAAATACATAATCATTACGTACCCATTTCGACTAGATAAAAAAATATTTTGATGTTAACGTTACTTATAAGTTATAAAATATGACACTTAAGTTTAATTATGAATTATAATGATTTACAATTTACAATTTACAACCCTACCACTATTATATTGATACTTTTCTCCCTCCAATCAACATACAAAATTAAAAAAAAAAGATTCATGCAAAATAATATTATTATGTTGGTACCTGTTAAATATATAGATACATAATATATATAAAAAAAAAAAATACGTACGCAATTCAACTGTAAACGATAATTTTTTGATTTATATAGGTATAACTATGTACAAAATATTTTCTATAAATTTACTATAGAGTATAATAGTATATTTATACCATGATTAAATTAGTAAGAGTTCTAGATTTTTGGGAAAAAAAGTTGTCCAGATTGTTATAAAATTATATTTAAAACTTAAATAATTAATTTAAAATAATATTAACTACGGTACAGTTGAATCACTAATATATAAATTGAATCTACTCTTCTGAAAAAGTCACAGCTGTATCTGGATTTTGGACATGTACAACATTATCATTGAAGATATAGGTTGTACTACGGACACTCTTTTAAAAAAAAGATACAATGCTAATGTTGTTCTGAAGTAATATATCCAGCTATAGTTAAGTGGGATAATGAAAATACCTATATTTTCTTTAAACAGATATTCACATATTATGTTGTACATTTATAAAATATGAAGCTGTAAGAGTCACACGTCATTCAATTCTTCGTTTGTCAAGACTCGAGACGATGGCAGCTCTAGTGAATATTAATTTTATGAATTTTAAAATTATAAATTTATTTTAGTAGTTAATTATTTTGTTAACGATCCAATCAAATTTCTAGAAAAGGTTATACCAGATATTGCTTCAAAACCAATGAGGAGTTTTCAAAGAATCGGAGTATTTGTACCTGACTTTCTGAACTAACACTACCAAGATATACAATAATTTTACTATGGCAGATTGGATCAGCGTGTGGCCAGGAATTTCTATCGGGGGTATTTTAATACAACTTGTTCACATATCTAATATATTTTTAGATTATATGGCCGAGCTCATAGCATTTGCGGACGATGTGGCCGTAGTAACATTGTCAGCCATCCCTTCTACACCCGAAGAGAGTTTGGGGGTAGCCTTCAGTTTCATCAGTAACTGGATGTCGGACCACGGTTTTGAACTCTCAGTGGTTTAAACTGAGTGTATAGTTTCCAATAAGAAGAGGGTACCATGCTCGCAGTGGTCATGTCATAAGGTCTAAACAAAGTCTTCGCTATCTTGGTGTCCAATTCGACAAAAAATTGGATCTCAGAAAGCATGTGGATCTCAGTGAACCTACCATGTGGCAGTAGCTAGAAGGTAATTGGGGTGCTCATGCCTAATCTCAGTGGACCCTTGAAAAATTCCCGCCGACTTCTGTCTAGTGTAGTTAAGTCAAGACTCTTAAACGAGGCTCTCATCGGGTTCGATTCCTTGCTGACAATAGGGTGTAGAAAGATGGCAGCTGTACAATGTACATAGGCACTCCCAGCAGCTAAGGATGGTGTGCTGCTACAATACAGTGTCATACAGGGGCGGCGGTGGTAATTTCAGGAATCCCGACCATCCAAATACTTGTGAGATTAAGACCGGAGATACACAACGGACTTGGTATGGACGACGCTAGGATGAACCTCATTGCCAGTTGGCAAAGTGGGTGGAACGGTTGCCTCAACGACAGATGGACGCATGAGCAACTACATAAGTATATGACTGTCCCGTAGTTTTGGCGAGGTCACGTTTCACTTATCACAACTTATCACAAGTGCTCTCGGGCCATATCTGTTTCGCACACTGATTCCACGTTCAAGAACCGAATAAGTGCGATCAATGCGACTTTGCACCTATCACTACCGGCATACATTCATCGAGTGTGACGTGTGGTAAAACTGGAGGAGACTGACTTGTGTCGGCATTGACCTCAATGGGTTGAGAGTTGAGACCGGACATCCCAATAACTACTGTCATGTCGTCTTCGTCAATAAACTATGGTCCCTCAGTTCATACCTGTCTAGATTTTTTTTTACCAGAGAGTTCGAGGACAGTCAGGCAAGGGCAACCGGGAGGCATGTAAAGCCAGGTCTCGAAGAAGTGCAAGTATTCCGACACCACCGACTTACTGTCTCCAAGATCTGATTAATTATATTAATTCATTAGTTAATGTTCCTTAGGGGGGTTAGTGGCCTCTGTTGTTAGATTGTATGTTAGTTATGTTGTGTTAGTGACTTTAATGTATGCAGATGACAATTAGAAGATGGTGGCACTCTTCTACCCCTAAAGTTTTTCCAATGGATAGTCCCGGGGGCAAAAGCATGGATGAGTATTGCCAATACTGCATACAATAAAAGATTATATTGTCAAGTTTATTTCAAATACCCCACTCCCTGGCTATACGCCTGGATTGTATATGGCACTTGGTATGAATCAAAAGTGGACACTGAACACATACAATATTTAGAAATACAATAATAGGCAATTAAAGATAACTAATTAAATGCCAAAAAAGTTAATAATATCATTTGAAAACATTTAAGTACTAGGTATACGATATTTTAGTCCATGATGAGATTAATCACATGATTGAATTTGTATTGTATAATATTTGACATTTTAATCAACTAAATTATGCTTCAAATAGATAAGAACCTGAACCAATTATAAACACTGTGTATTCCAACCAATTTTGGATTTGTCATCTGATTGGAATGAAATATAAGAGGGAAATTAAGAATATTACAATAAACATTATTTATACTCACTAATTTTTTCTGAAAAAAAAAAATTTAACATAGGATAGTTATTATTAATTATTAATAATACCATCATAATATACAATATGATATTGATGGTGGTTTTCAATGTGATGGACCATAAACTTCTTTGGTTTTCTCTAGGTAGCGTCGTACCACTACTAAAAATTAATAAATTCTGATACCTATGTGGATATTAATAATAATTTAGACTATCTATATTATATTGCCAAGTACATATTTGAGAGTACCTATTGTTAAAAATACCCTTATTATTTCATGTGCTTCCCTTTGTATTTGCATTTAATTTTTGTTTTATGGAATCCACCTTATTATTTATTCTAATATAGATACAATAAAAATAACGGCAATTGAAATTTTCATTTTGGATATTTCATTTATTGAAAACAACTTTCATACTTAAAGAAATACTTGACGAACAACATAATTTACTCTAAGGTTTCTGATCTCTGATTTTCAATCTTCAATTTATAATTTATCAATAAATGGACATTGAAGCTAATGGAAGAAGTAATTAATACAATTTTGAAATCTCATACCGATTAAAATATATTATTTTAATAACATAAAAAAACAAAACAAAAATATACGTACGGTAAATTTCTAGAAAAAATAAATTACGTACTGTAGTAAACTGTATTCAAACATTTCAATAGTAGTTTTTATTTTAAAATTGAATAATTAAGAACTTTAAAAAAAAAAAATTTGCTTATCATTAACATATTATTATGATCAATCTACAATGTAAGTCACTATAGGTAATTTGTATTATGTGGTTCAAAAAAATTACCGTTTAATTTCTCTAAATAAAAAAAAACAAATAAGTTTTTAATAATTAAATATGAATTGTTTTTAATTTATTGGAATAAACCTTTTTAAACATAATATTATAAACATTTAACTTACCATAATCCTCTATAAAAAGTTAGAAATAATATTTAGTTGACCACGTATAATATTACCATTTATAATACACAACTACAAATATAATAGTCACATAATTTCATTATGAGTACAATATTGCAGCAACCCTCAGTAAGCAAAGCTTTTCCTGGGGAGCAGTTCTAAAAAATATAAATAATAGAGCAATCTAATAGAATAGAATAATATGGTATAGAATACAATATAAATAGTCTTTATATACAAATAACAAATATAGGAAATAATAAGGGTTATTCAGTTATAAAGTACCTACCCTTAGTCTTAAACAAGAATATTTGATATTTTGATTATCATTTCATCGAGGTAGTATTATTCTAGTATACCTATCTAATCACTTAATATAGAGTATTGTTAACCTAAACATAAGTTGTTTTAATACGATACATATAGAGAAAGATTTGAGAAAACAAAATTATAATATATTAGCTATGCTGCATCACAAAACTTGGTTCAGAATTTTTGTACAAGATTTATTTCTTAACCTTTTGTCACCATTTTGTAACGAAATGTAACTAAGGTATTCGATAATATTGTATGTAACATAATATAGTTCAGAGTTAAATTTTTCACATCCTTCAAAAAAGATTTTTTTATCTATTCTTCAATAAGTCAAATTTATTATAAAAATCATAACTACTTACTTTCTTCGTCTATAAAAACAAATATAATATAGCTTATAGACTTTTTTTTTTTTAGTTGATATTCTAATATTTTGTTTTGAAATCGAGCTTAGTTTAAATAATAGTAAGTCCAAAGTTGCGATTATGCCCAATCAACAGTACTTTCTCTTCAGTACTGACTCAGTAGGTTCCTACTTAGGCGTTTTAAAACTCCCACTATGGATAGTAACTATAATAAGGATAATAACCTATATCTACTATAAAATTATGCTAACAATGTTTAGATTGCAACGTATTGAACAAATGATACACAATAACAATAGGCATATTTTAACCATAATACTCATACCTACTTTGAAACAGTGGCCTTCTGGCTTGTTTCGTTGATTTATGAATAAATCAACACTTGCGGTTTATGGTATCACTTGTTCATCTATTTCCATATCAATATTAATTATTTACAGTATAGATGTAATTGCGGGGAGGTTAAGCCAGTCCGGACGCCGGGCGTAAAGCGGGCTTGCCGGATACGGCGTATGGACACTATAAGTTACGTCCTACATATACTTCAGGGTTTTATGTACAAAGGGGTACAATTTGTGGTATGGGGTCGACCACGGATAGTGTCCTGCTATGAAGCGACTGCTATCGTGAATCTGACCCGGGAAGGCAGGCTCTCAAAAGCGGCCTGGGGGACAGTGGGTTTTAGACTCGGCTAGTGATACGTCTAGTGGCAGCACCGCTGGTCCTGGATTGGCTGGTCTCTGTGTCCAACGCTCTCGCGTTCTCCTCTTGGGAATGAACCGGGGATCGCCGGATGTCTCTCCGGGCCTTGGGCAATACTTCACGTATTGTTCCCTGGGCGAAGGTGGCAGCTCCTGATGATCTCTCGGGTGGCGTGGTACACGGCTATCCGTAGAGGACTGATCGCTGTGCTGTCGGATCGTCCGTCGCCTTGATCTGTGAATGTGCTTCGATCCGTCGACTCGCACTCACTGAGTGCGGCGATGCCCGTACGGGTTATGTTCGCAAGTGTGTGCTAGGAAATGTCTTCTGGGCTCCGGTCGTCGGTATCAACGCCCTCCTTTCGAGCTGGTCACTGCGTCGACTCCTACAGGAAAGTGTGGCGATGCCCGTATGGATGGCTCACGGTCTCGTACGAGGAATCAGGTTCTTCGTAGGTCTGCTTCGGTAGTCTCGGCTGCTCTATGCCGTCGCAATCTCGTATAAACGTAAGTGGGGCGATTGCTCACGGGTTTATACGATGATTCTTCGTCGGTGACTTTTCCGCCGGTGTTCTCTTTATGCTGTGTCTTGTAGATGTTCGCTTCGTTGGTCCTTCTGTTCTTCTATTCTTCGTACTGTGTTGAGTGTTTGGTCGAAGAAATTATACTGAGTGTAGAAGGTGCTCTCTAGCTTTGCTTTGGGTGGATGGCTGAGCCGTGAAACTGTACCAGGCTTTTGTCTCTACTAGTGGATGGATGTTTATGAAGGTGATTATTAAAATTGTTGGTCTACCCATGTTAAATGGTAGGGTTTGATTCTACGCTGTGTGGTTGGAGGGGTGTGAGATTTACCTAAGATTCGGATGTGGGCATGAATAGAGAAAGAGTTTTTGTAGAACATCGATTTGGATTGGTTATGAATAGAATTTTTGATGGACTTGAAATTTGCTGATTTTAGAAGGACCGAGTTTTTAAAGATAGTGGGCATACCCGTTATCGTGCGAATGCCGCTGTTTTGAACAGATTCAATACGTTTCCAATGTGAGGGACCGATAAAGGGTGCCCAAGAGGGGCCAGAATAAGAAATAATTGGAGAGA